TGTGGATCTGGGCTCTGCAGAATACAATTTCCTGTGCACGTTTTTTTTTGTGTTACATATTTTAAACATCTGTTGACATTTTTTGTATATATATATTTTTACATTTATATTATTTATGGAGAAATACGGCTTAAAGATTTCTAGTGCAAATAGTGTTATTTCCACCTTATTGATTTAGGTGATTTTTTGCAGCTGGTACAGGTCAGTACATACAGACAGATATATTGATATATCATATTTGGTGTCAGAAGTTGGGACAAAGGCACAGCTGATCAGGTAAGCTGAACAATAAGTCTTAGTCTTCACCTTAATCATACCGCTTTGAAACCCGCGTATATCATAGCCAAATTAACTGTTTGAGACTGCTGGGTCTCACAGGGATTGTTTGAGGTTTGGAACCTCAAAGGAAATTGTTAGAGGTTTGGAACCTCTGGGAAAAATTGCCTAGGCAGGAATAATAATATTGTGAATTCACAGGAGTCTTCATTTCTCTTTGCCATTTTAGAAGTATAAGTGCTTAATTGCTGCATGTTAAGAAACTGTTAAGTAGGATATTTGTGTTACTGTAAAGTGGCAGCCACACCGCCACCCTGCAAGGGTTAACTTTCTGTGACCGGGACCGGTGAAAACAAGGGGTGCTTGAAAGTAACAGAATAGGGTTTTTTCAGTGCCTGTGTTTTTAAGTGTTAAACTTCTGAACTGTTGAGAGGTATTTTTTGGTGCTCTATGTGAGTACAGTACAGACACTCCAGTGAAGAGAATAACCACTGACACTGTAATATTTAGTACTTTGCCTAACAGCTGTTTTTCTTTAAGATGGGTATAGTCCACGGTAAGGAACCTCTGCCCAAAATTCCTAAGCCTCCGTGTAAAGTGTTAAGTGATATTGCTAAAAGAAAAAAAGACAAGAAAATCCTGAATTGTCCAGGTTAACTTTTGGATATAACATGGACTCAGGGTTTGACTGTTCAAAGGTGCCTACCATAAATACTCTAGTTGATCCTGGAACGCATCCACTCATGCATGGCTGAAGGAAGAGACTCAGAAAAAGGTGTTGGAGGAAGTGACAGCCGAGATGGAGTGAGTATGGAAGGGTAGAAAATCTTTAGCAACTGCTGTAGCTTGTAAACAAGGACCAAAAGGAACAGTGACAGAGTATGTAAAAAGATTTTGAAAAGTCTAGAAGGAAGAAGCTGGGGTGGAGAAATGGGCACTATATACATTCAAACCTTAATGGCAGGATTCAAGCCTGAAGTCTCGCTGTTAATAAGACAGCTTATTTCAGACTGGACAGAGATGGATGGATGCAAAAAAACGAGTGATGGAGAAGGACACCGCTGGATGCTTTGAGGTCGCCAAATCTACCAGCAAAGCACATTATCAGGGGCTACAACATAGTAACAATCCTAGAGAAAGAAATTACAATGGAAATAGGGGAAGAGGAGGATAGGACCCGATGTCCCAGATGTGCCCTCATTGATTACCTTCTTTCCACATGATACACAGTGTTATACTGTGATCAATTTAAGCGATGACTTTTTTCCATCCCTATTGACGAAGAGACACAATGTACTCTGGCCAGCAGGCAGTTAACCTGGGCCAGGTTACCACAAGACTACGTAGATTCTCCAGCTGTATATTCTATGGCCCTCCGAGAATCCTTTAAGTGTTGGGCTCCCCGCCATGGTTCCACATTGCGCTAGTACGTGGATGACTTATTACTTTGTTCACCTAACAGGGAGGCTTGTAGGCAGGACAGTATATCTCTGTTAAATTTTTGGAGTACTGAGGGACACAAGGTGGCAGGGCACAAGGTACAATATTGTCAAACTATGATGGATTACTTGGGTTTCACTCTGTCACAAGGCACCAGAAAGGGTCACTAAAACTGAGGTCATTAAGTGGGACCAAGATTCCACCAATGCCTACCAAACCTTGAGGTCCTCACTAGTTTCCTCTCCTGATCTGGACTTAGCAAATTACAATGTTGATTTTCATGTGTATGCTCATGACAATTGTAAAACCATGGTAGCTGTGGTTGCTCAGGATCATGGAGGACATATGAGGCCAGTGGCCTATTTTTTAAAAGTAGTAGGGTGGAGGACTCAATGAAAGTGACTCTGGACATAAAACCATCCTTCACACATCCCATCATGTGCTGCATGTCCTTAGCATTATTACTACTCAACATATGATAACACAAAGGTCAAGTGGTTATGAGGTAATTTTGACATCAAAACAGCTAATTTAGAAGTGAAATATGCAGTGTCTAACTCTGGTCCCGTAGCTATGTTAAATTGTTTGTTAGGGATAAAGGGGGAAACTGATAATCCCGCCAAGGAATATGACTGTGTCCAGATAATACATGAGGACACTACTCGCAGAATAGACATGCAAAAAAAAACCCATCCCAGAGGCTCTGGATATGTTTGTAGATGGTTCTTGGTCCAGACCTTCAGATAATACTTTTTTAACAGGGTATGCAGTGGTTCAGCTACCTGATATTGTTCATGAGGCACTACCCCTCCCTTACAATTCAGCAAATGTTTACACAGATTCTAGGTATGCTTTCAGGGTTGTTCTTGACTTTGGAAAAATATGGCAGAGACGGAGATTCACTGCTGCAGATGGAAAAGGAATATCGCATGCAGACCTAATAAATAATCTTTTAGACGCCATTCATAAACCTAGGTCCATAGCGGTAATCAAATGCAAGGCACACAGGTCTGATTTTGTAGCCAAAGGCAATGCACTTGCTGACTGCACTTCTAAGAATTCCGCCTTACAGCAACAACTCTTACAAAACTCACTAATGTCTATGGCCATTTTAGAACACCTATGCTACTGAATCACTCTCCTTAAAGAACTGCAATATACAGCAAATGAGGAGGATGTAAAATACTGGGAGCAAAAAGAGCTGACATTAGATGCAAATGGTCTAATGTCAAAGGGAGGATGCAAAGACCATGGCTAAAATTCTTTGCAAAGAGATCATCCCTCCATGGGGATGTGTGGTAAGTATAGACTTGGACAAAGGACCAGCATTTACCTCAAAAGTTACACAACAGATAGCAAAACTTATAAGCATTGACTGGAAGTTTCACATACTCTACTACCCCCAGAGCTCTGCTCAGGTAGAATGGGCAAATAAGACCCTGAAGGAGAAATTAAGGAAGGCAACAAGGTGGGACATTTAAGGGATGGGAGGTGTACCTGCCAGCTGTTTTGGCTGAGATGAGGATGACAGCTAATAAAGCCACTAAACTTTCCCCTTTTTGAAATTCTTATGGGCAGACCATTCCCCACCCCCTGGACAAGAGGACCGTTGGTAATTATGCCAGGTGCTTTAGAAATAATCCAGGAGAGATATGTCCAAGAATTGATTAGGGATTTGAATGGTGTATATGGTGATGTCTCTCTCGTTTCCTCTTCTCACAGATGATCCAACCCACCCGTACAATCCAGGAGATCGAGTGGTGGTTAAGGAACACACCGACACAATATCATAGATCCACTGTATGGGGAACCCACCACAGTGATGGCTGTAATGAGAACCACTGTTCTGACTGCCCATTCCAACATCTGGATACATGCTTTTAGAGTAAAGAGGGTCCTGGTACCACCAAAGAACCAGGAGCAACAGGCGGAACAAGGAAAGGAGACAGATCTATCAACACCCTCCAAACTTCAGAATGCTGCTTCATCCAGAGATGGCTTGGAAGAACTTTATTTTGATTAGTTGTCTCTCAGTGATAACTTTTTCAGTGACCTACTGGGCTAGCCACTGCTGCTATCACCCCGAGGAATGGCCGTCAATTTGTGGTCACAACAGTGAGACTATGAATGACACTGAACTAATAAAAAAGAGCAGACAAGATCATTGACTGAAAATATGTCGCTATTGAAATTTAAGTACAGGTATGCCAAGCTCTCAGGATTCAAGAGCCGTTGGGTTTGCAGTATACTCCACCCTGAAACCATGACCATTCCTTTGTATGCTGCTCCTAAAAATGTGAAGACATCTATGCTTATAGGTAATCTGAGTAATATCCTTACAAACAAGACCTAAATTTGAAGTGTTGGGAGTTATGATGGAACCTGAGTGGTGTTTTTATTTTGGCAATAAATCAAATGAAGGTAAAGACTTTTGTAGTAAGCCTAAACTTAATGTTACTGGGAAGATAGTTGAGGATAATAACTTTGTACAAGTAAATACCACTAAGAATAGATAGAAAAAATATATAAATGAAACACAACTAGAGGTGGGTCTTTTGAATGTTGAACTATGGGCACTGAGGAAAACAGGTGCTTATAAATGAAATGAAGATAGAACAAATGGGTGCAGCATTGACCAGGCTGTATGAATCTATTACTGACTATGAGTGTTGTACATGGACACATAACACATCTGCTGAGATCCCAGACTATTATAAAGTACTTGAGAATCATAGAGCCCAGGCAAATGCTCTGCAAGCTTGAGCTCAATCCATAGATGAGGATGGCTGGAACCCTTTTAACCTGGGCCGGTATTTTTTTGTGAAAGCTGGTACCATTTTTTTTGCATGGCGGTATGATTATTGAACAACTCACTGAAATCTGTCCGAACAAGAGTCTAGTAAACATTCCGGATATGATAAAATTTGAAACACGAAATCATAAATTATAATTTAATAAATAATCATAAAAAAATAATAATATAATAATAAATTTAATTCAATAATATAATCAAACCAAAAACACTGACATCTGAAATACAGAGGCAAATTCACACATCGCTGAGCAAAGTCGCAAAATCATTTTCAGTGTCTGATGACAAATTTCCCCACGAATTATTATCACTCAATTCTGCAAGTGGTTCTGATTTACTATCGCTGTTCTCTAGCTGGTCTAAAACCGCTTTTGACGTAAAGGGACGCTTTTTGGATGCCATTGACTAAGTTTCCAGGCAGAAAGAACAGTCAAAATGCAGGCAGGGCACAGGACAAAGCAGTAGGGACAAAATGTTTGTGAAATGCATTAAAAACAGCAATGTTTTACTATGTAATAATCATTTTTAAAAAAATGACATTTTTTAAAAATTTCAAATTTGCCGCAGGTTCCGGCGCCCATACGTCCCAACGTCACAGGGACTGGAACACGGAAGCCGGCATCGGCCGGAGGAGGATGGCCGGGGACGCTGCAGGGGACACATCGCGGGAGCGAAGGACAAGGTAAGTGCTGCAGGGACTCCCTGAGCAACGCCGCATGGTAAGCCCGAGTGTAGCTCGGGGTTACCGCTCTTGGTACTGAAATTTTACCCCGAGCTACACTCGGGAATACCGCCAGGGAGGTTAAAGGGTTGGGAAGTTTTGTAGATTTTTTTGGATGGTTTAAGAAAGTAAGTATGCTGATTTTGATATTTCTTTTACTAATATTTGTATTCTATGCCGTTGCTAAACTTTGCATGTGTCTTGAACAGGCTCTTAAGAAATCCAGATGATATTGGGAACAACCACTGTGAATTTTGTATTGTCACATTGTGACAAAAAGGAAGAACTGTACGGAGATATATCTTTAAACTGGCATCCATTTTATATAATGCCTCCATATTAGATATGTAACAGCTCAAGTTTCTTTTCTCAAGAATTGCTTTCTTTTCTATGTAAACAGAAATACCTTGTATTGTGCCCCTTAGCATTTACAGTTTTTTTTTCCACATAACTATACTGATAAGAGTGCAATGTTTTATTGGTTATCCTGATTAAGAAATGCCTGTTGAGTTTCTGTATATTATCCCTTGCACATCGTATTAAACTTCAGAAATACGGCTTAAACAATTCTGTGTCAATAGCTTTATTTTCCCGGATTTGGTGGTGAGAGAAATGAGGACAGGTCGGCTACATACTGACAGACATTGATTCCATCAACCCCTGCCTTAGGTGATCTGCTGCTCATTTATGAAAAGCCCAGTAAACTTGAATAACCAAATTCTGTCTGTGCAACATTGTTTCCATTCTGTATAGCAAAGTTGCAGTAGCTGATTCATTACGCTGTCAGTGGCGAGCAAAGCACTCTCAACACACATTGTACACAGTGTGGATGAGTTCCACATATTATTTTCTTCTTGTGGTTGAATTTTCTTAGCCTATAGTGTTAGGCTATTTTGTCTATTGGTGGAATGTTCTTTAACTCTGCTGGTTGAATGTTCTTAGGGCTTTTTCTCTTAGAATCAAAATGTTAGGGAAAGTTACATTTGCCCTGCGAAAGGCAAAGTGTTATTCATGACTTTTTTGTGAATGCTGAAACATTTGCAAAGTGATTTATTTAATAAATAGACCCCTGTGCTTTGCATGCTTTGACACATTTGAATGCACAAAAATTTAATTTGGCAGTAAAGAACTAAATAAATAAATAGGGCTTGATCCTGTGTGGACCTATTCTTTCATTAAACACTTTTCTCATCTGTTTTCAGTGGAAAAAAAACAACTGCAATACTCTATTAGCTTCAAAACAATTTTAAAAAGATGAATCTATGAATAAATCATATCCACTGGCAGTTAAATGATAACCCACACAAATTAGAATTGATAATCAAAACATTTTGCCTGCAATAGATTTATTGTCTTATGTGTTGTGGTTTACCTCCCACTAGTATATGTATTTCGCCTAGTGCCAGAATCACTGTACAGCTGAAGTCTGTGCTTTAAATCTCTAGATCTAAGCTGTAGGGATGAGCAGACTGAATTTAGCAAAATTGATTTTGCTGGGAAAATACTGATTTCACCATCACAAAAGTGAGAACTCAATTTTACTTATTTGAAAACAAAACCACTATATTTTTTTCCCTTTTTTTTAAAGGATGTGAGTTTATTTTGTATTTAGGGTAGTTTATTTTATTTGGTACTTTTTGCATTTGTAGTTTTCCTTTCCATCTGTATTTGGTTGTAGTTTGTGTATAATTGCTTTAAATGCTTTTTATTTTTTCACTGACTGTTTTTCGTTCTGAGGAAACAAATAAAAATACAACTATAATAATGAAGCTTCATTTAGTTTCAGGATATTTGAAAGTAGCTTTGTAAACCTCAGGAACCAATTAAAACCCATTGAACCCATATAAACCATCAAAAACCTCTTTGATTTCACTTTCCCCAATGACTCCAATACATTTCAACAGAAATCTGATTTTTGCAGACATTTCAGGGAAAAGTAAATTTTCAGTTTTGTTCATCCCTATTCTAGTTGTTAAAGCTCTTCCAAGTGGAGGCCTCAATCAGAAGAGCCACTGAAAGCAATGTTTGTATTACATACATTCCACAATAATAATTATGCTACCAAAATTAGTGTGTGCTGCAAATTGTCTCCAGCATTGCTCCTGTTTCTTCTGGCTGGAGGCTGCCATTTTGTTGAAGCGCAGAGCTTCTGGACAGCAATAAAGCTTTAAGCTGTCAACAGATCCAGTGTATCAGTGTACAGTGCACTGCGGTGTCCACTGTAGCAGTGTACAGTGCATTACAGAGTACAGTGCATTGCGGTGTCCAGTGCGTTAGAGTACAGTGCACTGTGGTGCCCAGTGCATTACAGAGTACAGTGCATTGCGGTGTCCAGTGTATCAGTGTCCAGTGCATTACAGAGTGTCAACTGTATCGGTGTCCAGTGTGTTACAGTATACAGTGCATTAAGGTGTCCAGTGCATTACAGTGTACAGTGCATTGCAGTGTCCAGTACATTACAGAGTACAGTGCATTGCGGTGTCCAGTGCGTTACAGAGTACAATGCATTGTGGTGTGTCCAGTGCGTTACAGAGTAAAGTGCATTGTGGTGTCCAGTGTATCAGTGTACAGTGCATTGCGGTGTCCACTGTATCAGTGTACAGTGCATTACAGAGTACAGTGTATTACGGTGTCCAGTGCATTACAGAGTACAGTGCACTGTGGCGTCCATTACATTACAGAGTACAGTGCATTGTGGTGTCCAGTGCGTTACAGAGTACAGTGCATTGTGGTGTCCAGTGCATTACAGAGTACAGTGCATTGTGGTGTCCATTGCATTACAGAGTACAGTGCATTGTGGTGTCCAGTGCATTGCAGAGTACAGTGCATTGTGGTGTCCAGTGCATTACAGAGTACAGTGCATTGTGGTGTCCAGTGCATTGCAGAGTAAAGTGCATTGTGGTGTCCAGTGGATTACAGAGTACAGTGCATTGTGGTGTCCAGTGCGTTACAGAGTACAGTGCATTGTGGTGTCCAGTGCGTTACAGAGTACAGTGCATTGTGGTGTCCAGTGCGTTACAGAGTACAGTGCATTGTGGTGTCCAGTGCGTTACAGTGTACAGTGCATTGCGGTGCCAAGTGCATTACAGAGTACAATGCATTTCGGTGTTCAGTACGTTACAGTGTAGAGTGCATTTTAAATATTGTATTGTGTCCAGTTTTTTTGCACTACAAATAAGATATGTGCAGTGTGCATAGGAATTTGTTCATATGTTTTTCAAACCATAGTCCGGCCACCCAACAATGTGAAGGTCCGTGAACTGGCCCCTTTTAAAAAGTTTGAGGACCCCTGCTCTAGTCTATAGAATACTTGAGTATAACAATGTAACAAGACACAGTGCAGCGCTCAAAAATGGATAAATAAATGAATGAAAAACAAGTATATATATATATATATATATATATGAAAGTCTGTGCAAAATCCGTGGTATCGTCTGGTAAGGTGAATACACATCCGGAGTATATACTGCCTCGAAATAATAGCAATGCGCACTCACCAGTGCATGGACTATGCGCATGTAGGGTAAATCATCCCAGATATCAGATCCAACGAACAGTGGTGGGCGTCCTACTCACGGTGGGTCATCAGATACACCAAGACTGATCCAGAGGTCCCCTTAAGGTTACTCAGATAATCCACACTGATGGTTTTTGATCCCTCTTCTGGCTGGTAAAGGCACCCTTTCTGTGGGAGTAACAGCTGCACAAAGGAGCCCCAAAAAACAGGTGCCAGAGATAGTGTAGTATGCTCTTTAAATGATTTTATTGGTCAGACATCAAACCCACCGTGAGTAGGACGCCCACACTCGGTCTTCGTTGGATCTGATATCTGGGATGATTTACCCTACATGCGCATAATCCATGCGTTTCTGGTGAGTGCGCATTGCTATTATTTCGAGGCAGTATATACTCCGGCCACCACAACTTTCATATGTATAAGGTATATATATATACTTGTTTTTCATTCATTTATTTATTCATTTTTGAGCGCTGCACTGTGTCTTGTTACATTGTTATACTTATATTCTAAAGGTTTGGTTGCCTGAAGTGTTCCAGCTGCTATATATATTTAAGAGCGCTCACCACATTTCTTTATTACTAGTATAGAATACTTGAACAGAATGAGTACTGAAGACTTCCATTTGATGCCTTAAGATTCATACCATTATTCAACTTAAAGGCATAATAAAATGAGGATATGTAACATAAACATCTAAATAACATGCAGTAAATCTAGATAAAAATATATCAACATAAATATATTTTTATAAGAATGGCAAAGGTGGGCACAAACCTTTGGGACCACTTTCGTGGGATTGCGGCCGCCCCCCACCCTTCCCCTCTCAAATGGGCTTGTTTGTAGTGGTAAATGGTGGGTTTGTCATGTGTGGAATGCGGCGTGCAGTATCTCCACGAGGGTTCTTTTGCGCAGGTCATAACCGTGTGCTTAAGTGTCCCAGGAAAGTGGGTGGGTCTCCTTTTTCCCAGTGGGATATTTTTCAGAAAAGCCTGCACGCCAGTGAGGCTGGAAAACAGGCGTCCGTGGCTGGATCGGTATTCAGACAGGGAGAAAGCTCAGTTCCTTCATGATGGGTTCCTTTTTGGTTTTCCTCTGCCTAATTTTGTGCGAGGGTTGCTGGACGGTATATAATTTGAAGTCTATACTCCAATACCCACAGGTTGTTCTCAAACAGATTGACAAAGAGGTTGCTGAAGGCCGTGTGGCGGGCCCCTTTCCTAGTCCGCCTTTTCAGGACTTTCGGATTTCTCCTTTGGGGGTGGTTCCTAAGAGGGAGCCTAACGCTTTCTTTATGATACAGCACCTTTCTTTTCCCAAGGGCTCTTCGTTGAATGATGAGATTGATGGTTCTTCGTGTTCAGTGTCCTATGCGACCTTTGAGGATGCCGTAGTTCAGATTCGTGCTTTTGGCCCAGGCGCTAGCCAAGAGGGATACCAAATCTGCCTTTCGGCTGTTGCCTGTCTCCCCGTTGGCTTTTAATTCTCTGGGGTTTTATTTTGACGATGCTTTTTATTTCAATAAAAGCCTTCCCATGGGCTGTTCTTTGTCCTGTGCCTATTTTGTCATGTGTGGGGAAATTTGGTGTTGGCTCCTTTAAATTTTGTTAAGCAGAATTCCTGGGATCCAATCGGGAGTCACGGAAGTTTCAGGAGCATTGGCTGACAGGATATAAGGGGCACCTGGATCATTTGGATCAATGGCCAGCCTGCAAGCAGAAGAGCTGCCCCCCCCCCTTTTTTTGTTGCGTGCACTTTGTGTGATGCTGTCACCCTGGAGTCAGGGAGTCAGGGGGACGTTTTCAGAGGTGCAGATGTTTTATGTGATATGATTCGAGTTCCAATAACTGAGCCAGAAGAAGGTGTTTTATTATATTTTGCATGTTTGAATTTCATCGAGTACTGTAGTTTTGTACATGGTTTATTTTGTGTAACACCAATAAAGTTGCGTGGCCATTTCTCACACAATCTGCCTAATAGTTTCTTTCTTAATGGTCCGCAATCCCACAACTGTGCTAAACTAAGATCCATGTAGTAGGGTGAGGTAGCTAAATTATGCACTTGTTCTGCTGGTATAACGACTTTGTCTAAGCAAATTTTGGGATCAATCTGTTCCTTTCTAAGGCTTGAACTGGTGGTAATTTTTTTTATAACAACATTATTTTAATTTAATTTAAAGTATCTTAGATTTGTTAATTTTAGGTCCACTGGCTTTTCTCTTATTTATTTCTGACTGACATTTTGGTGGGAAAGTTGACATCCAATAAGGAAGTATTCTAAGATTTCCTCAGAGCTTTCAGTCAGGGCTTGGAACAGTTTTATCTTCAACAGCAAGCTACAAGCTTCTCACCTGCCCACCCTGTCATGATTTGTCCTTGTAAGGGGTAATGTCACCCACTTTGTGGGTGGGCAGTGGTTCACACGACTTAGGATGTTTAAATCTATTTGATTTATGGTGCTTGAGCCTTAAGGGTTGCTTATACAATCATTATGGTTATAGTCTAGAGTTAATAAAAGCTCAAGTTAAAGTTAAATTTAAACTCCATAAAAGAATGGTGGCCAAAATTGTTCCACACTTTTTATTTGATGATTATAGTATGCATTTTGCAGGCATGCAGGCTGGTATTTCCACAGCAAGCTCTCAGCCCCCCTCTTATGCTGATTCCAGCCCACATGCCCTTTAGCACTGGGGCCCACATGCCCTATTGCAGTTCTCTCTAAACTGCAGCCCAGGGGGACAG